ATACCATTAATTTCTTACGCTGTGGTAAGCAAATGAGATCTGTCTGTTTTTGATATGTTTTGTATGTCAATGAGTTTTCAGATGGTTGCTGTCACCAAATGCTTCATGCGTATGGTTCTGACCTACTTTCCTTATCATTTTTAGATGACCGAAGTTGTTACGGAGCAGTGGATTCAGGTTCAGCATCTTGAGCAGGTCTTTAATTTTATTTATACGTTTGTCGTTTCAAGCAGTTGAATCTTGTGAGTTGTGACCCTAGATTCATGTCACCGATGATGGTTTTCTTTTTCCTGTTCCTATTGTATCTTGAAGATGAAAGAATTCAATAACCGAAGGCATCACACACCAAGCAGATGCTCGTTCTTGAAGGTATGTTCTTAGTGAAATGAATAATGATGTTGATGGGTTATAAGCTTAATACGTTGATTAATCATTTCATAACCTCACATTTCTCCTTTTATGTATCTGTATTTAGCTCATGAGTGACCTTCATTGGGAGGGAAAGACGGTTACTCTCTATGTGCAATCGTATCTCACACAAGCTCTGTCACAGTTAAAGAGCCTCTGGGCAGCTGTTACCAAATATCACCACCAGGTTTTGTTTCAAATCTTTACATTTCACCCTCTCCATAAATTAAGATCGAACGATTCTGTAACCGTGTTTTGCTTTGATTCTTTATAGTTGCAAGGCTTCATCAAGCATGAGATGGAAAGAAACAAGATCACATCGGCTCTCGCAAATAGAGAAGTAGTGTTTTTCGTGGTATGTCAGTCGGTATATTCAGATCTAGTAAATGGAGTAATTCAGTGTTCGATTTGTCTAATCCTTAAATCAAATTTTCTAATCTCTCCAGGCATCTGCACTGATTACATTCCCGGTGTTTGGAGCATGGATCTTACTCTCTTCCTAGTTTGGTTTCTAGAAGACATGATCAACTGATGCATTAGCCAGCTCTAGATTGGTTTTGCCTCTTAACTTGTCTCATGGCTCAGAAAATTGCCTAGTTTTAAACTTTAAGATCCTACCGGTTATTCTTGGGTTTGGTGCACAGTTGTGTCAAAGTCCAACTTTTGGAGTAGAAAACAAAAAATGTGTTTTGGGAACGAAGAAGAGAGTTGTTCAAAAAAAAAATTAAAAGGAATGAAGAAGAGACAAAACCAAAGAGATACAGACAAAGTCAGACT